CTGTAACTGCCCACTGTCATGAGCTGTTTCAAGCAAAATAACACTCTGGGCGAAGGACTTGAATCAGTGTTTTCCTCCCTTTATTTAATGTACTCTCCCTCCAGGACGCTGATGCCTCTTACTCAAGAAAGAAGAAGTAAGGACAAACCAGTACAAAATCCTGCTTGTGCCACAGCTGAGAAACTTTTTTCATATTGCGTGACTTCAAACAAAAGCTTTTTTTCTGTCTGTTGTACCTTTGTCATCATGTAACTTGACAAGTCTATCATGCTGTATACACACTTGACTAAATAAAAATCTCTTTCTAAACATACCTTCCATAGGCTGAATTTTTAAACTTAGAAGAATTGAGACAGAAGACGCCAGGCAGTATTTTTTTTTTTCCCCTGCTGCTATGACATTGGCAAATACTTGGTGAGCAGGCTAAAAAAAAATTATATACACACAGGATCCTGTTTCCCTCACTTTCATTCCTAATGGATGTTGAGCAAAAAAAAAACGCCACAGGTAGAAGGCTGTGGTATAAAGGGTAAGGATGTATATAGTCTGTCTTTGTGAAGTGTTCCTTTGGGAGAAGATAGTACGTCATTGTTGCTGTACTGAGAGCAAAATGTGAGTATGCATCATCATGTGTATTTAGGGCTAAATCCCTTAACTTCTGGCACAATACTTAGAAGTACTTAATCTTTAGGTCTCTCAGCACCACGGCAGAATCCCCAGGCCTTGGTCTTCTGGTTGTTTTGTAAAGGCTGAGGACTGGGCCGTGTGCGGAGAAGGGAGAGGGGGATGGTACAAGTGTAAGCCTGGGCATAGGCAGTACCTGGCCTTGCTCTGAACCTGTGGTAAATCTGTAGAGCATCCTGGGGAGAGGAGCAGGGGAAAGTTCCTGTAGCAGAACAGCCCGTAGCTACAAGAGGGGGCACGGGATTAACGTGAAATCCATTTCACAGCAGCTTGCTTACAGCCAAGACACCAGTGCTCATGTCAGAGGTGAATGAGGGCAGATGTCACACTACAGGCAACTTAAGCATGAAATAGAAGCAGAGTTCCCAGCTTGGTCGGGAACAGGCCTTTCCCTA